CCCTGAGACATTGTTTGACAAGTCTCAGGTTCCTGTAATTTCACCAGCACCCTTACCCTTCAAAACTGGAAATCAGTAATGCTGACATTACTGCTTGGCAGCAGAAATAGGTAAGGCAGTACTTCCCTGGACGAGCTTTTTCACAAGGAGCTCTACAGCTACTAAAAATGTGATACCACCTGTTTGTCATTTCTATCACCAGATCACACACACGCCTGTCCATAACAGTTGTGCGATTCAGTGCACAAAGATCTGAGGAGTATTGCCACTGCGCCCGTCACCTTGAGACATAAGTTGACAAGCCCCATGTGCCTGTAATATCAACAGCACCCACAACTTTCAAAATCAGAACGCAATAACGTTCACACATTGACTTACAATTATATGGACGTCGGGTCCGCGCTAAAAAGTGTCCGCACTTGTAAGGCGCTAAAATCGTATACAGAGCGCGACACTCCGCTTTAGTCTTCATTTGTTCTACTGACAGCGCGATACTGTGATGACATTACAATTTAAATTTCGAATAGGTTGACTTGGGACATTTTTTTCGTGGTTTTTGTATTAGACCCGTCGTCCATTTATTTGTAAGTCAATGCGTTCACATTACAATTTGACGGCAGAAGTAGGTAAACATTCCATTTATTCATCAACCAATTTTCATATTAAGATATCTCGAACAAAAGCTCTTGCTTGTCGACTAGATTTACATGAGATCCAAATTTTACGAGGCCCCGATTATCATCCAGGGCGAATAGAAGGGCTGCTACATATGTCCCAACTTTTATTACCATGTTATGCTTTATTTTGCTCGCTCTAAATGCAAATTTAATGAATGCCGAAAATAGCAGTCGAACTATGTCCTTGTGTCTTGGCTTTTTTTCGTTATTACGCTTTGATGTTTTTCAAATTAGGTCCGTAGATTGAATGCAATGATGAGTCACTCCTGATGTCCTTTTAATGTCTTCATTGTGCTCGTTATTCACGAAGGTTCTCAATTAGTACTTATAAATAGTAATTGATTCTGGACTGCCAAGAAGACAAAATGTGTTAAATTTGAATTACCTAAAGTAAAATCGACTAGTCCAAGCATAGAAATAAACGGAGAAAAGTTAGACTTTGTTAATAAAGCAGTCTTCTTGGGAGTGACCTTAGATAGTAAACTTCAATGGTTTCCACATATATCTTCCCTGGCCAGCAGATTAAGCTCCGCTGCATACGCAGTCCGCAGAATACGTGAGCTTACCGATTTAGTACTGCTAGACTAGTTTACTTTAGTTATTTCCATAGTATAATGTCAGCAATTCGTTCTGTGTACCGTCTAGGCTCTCGGGTTTCTCTCAGAGAAAAGTTTAAGGAGACTGGTATCATGACTGTGGCATCACAGTACATTTACTCAAATATTTTATATGCCCGTAAAAATATACATAATTTCAATAAGAAAGAAGATATCCATAATATTAACCTTAGAGCTAAATCCAAACTCATGGTACCACGATTTCGTTTAACCAAGGTAAACAACTCTTTTATGGGGAACTGTATACGTTTTTACAATAAGATTCCGGAGCATATATTAAGTTTATCATTTCCTAAGTTTAAAAACTACATTAAAAATATTTTGATCAAAATATCATATTACAAAATTGAAGACAACGTGTTAGATAAATATGTATGGAAAGACGACATGGCTCCAGAATCCACACAAATTTGATTCAAAGTGTATTCCATAGCATTTAAGTTTATTTGAAAAGAGCAATCCCTAGAGTTTCTTGCTCGCTCTTCTCAGGGAGGTCAGCGTAGTGAACGAGCAGTAGCTTAAATGTGACGTTTTCAAGTGTAAATTCATTTTACCTATGGAATAAATAATCTTTGACTTTGACTCGGGTACTCGAAAATAAATTTAAAAAAACTGTATTACCTATTTAAGGGGGCACGGAGCTTCTTTCGCTAATTGATTTTAGGTATTCTATGCTCTTCGTGTATGTGTGGCATACGTTTTTAAAGCCGTGTGTAAGCCCAAGGGACACAACCTCCACGTCTGAAGGCCGAAGCAGGACTAAAAGTGCCTACAGATTTGCTCGACATTGTCGATCGGGTGCCTACAGAAAATATGTAAAATAATATATAAATATGTCGATCGACAATAACGATCAACAAAATCGAGCAAATCTGTAGGCACATTTAATGTCTATCGATTTTGTTCCACTCTTCTACTTCAATCCGTCAATTATAATTTCTTAAGCCATGTCAAAAAGGCTCTTTTTAGTTCTGAACCAAAATTCTATTGACAACAGAAAATTTTCAAAAAAAAGAACTTATTTTTTACTAATTAAAATATCAAACAAGACGCTACTCAAATGCTCTACTGCCTCCTGATTGGTTAAAACATAAGCGGTACTTGGCCAATCATGAACACTTCTATGCTATCTCTTTGGTTTTTTGTTTTGTAGAATTTGTTCGGCTTTCGTTCTGGTTTGTTGTGTGGATTGTTAACAATAATCTTTACATTTTGGCTATGTTTCTTTATTTAAATTTACTTGTATAAAATATGCAATAATTACGTAATTAGGTTTTAAAATCTCGTATCTATTACCTAGGTAAACGGTGCTCGATTTCAAGAACCTTCATTATACGACGATTGCTTAAAATACTATTGAAATAGTAGTTTTTTGTAATGTTTGAAGTTAATAACATAAAAAGATCCAAACGTTTCGGGCCCTTTACAGGTCCCATGGTCACGGTTGACTGACCGTCACACAGTCAACCGTGACCATGGGACCTGTAAAGGACTGACCGTCACACAGTCAACCGTGACCATGGGACCTGTAAAGGGCCCGAAACGTTCGGTTTGTTTGAAAAAACAAATATACGCGATTTAAATCCGGAAAAATAGTTTCATTCCTATGTGTAACAATCGCGAAAACCTAAGAACTCGATAAAAAGATCCATTTAAATTACTTTCTAATATAATAATTGTAATAATTGTATTTTGCAAAATAGGCTATATTTCTATTGAAATTTCTATTCTTTATTTGCAAGTTACATAGATAACAGGTGTTCTTATATTTATGGTACTTGACAAGTAACACCCTGTGGGGGCACTGCAACATTCTGAGGGCACCATGTCCTTACTTTACTAACTATATTATTAAAATAAAATTAGAAGTAATTTAATAATAAAAACTAAAAAGAATTTTAGGCATGATAGCTTGCTTTGATAGCAAAAGATTCTTGTAGTTAAAAGACTTGTAGTGATTGGTTCGACACGATAGCACTGTTATTTGCTAGGAAATATCTACACAACGAAATCTTTTTCCTTATATCGCTACGATTGACTCGCGACCTACGCCAAAGTATTCTACCGGAATATTGACTCAATGTTGCAATCCGAGAGATACGACAAAATACAAGTACGAGGGTCGTTTGAATAAGTCCCCAGACCCTGTAATATCAAGTTACAAATCCAGTGTGAAAGTGTATCGGTTGATTAAATATATCTTAAAAGAATATAAACGGTAGTGTATAATGGTTTTGAAGGTTTTAGTAACTTTTGAATTTGAATTCTCGACACAGTTATTTTGGTAACTTTTTAAAATAAAAAAATGTGCCCGCTTATATATAAAAACGAATTATAAAATGTATTAAATATATAGGTAGCGCACGTTGAAATCAATACCATCACTAAATGAAAATCTCGCTTTTTATAAGTTTAAAAAGTTAATATCAAATTCATTTTCACAAGCAAGTTCATTTTCCGTTTACTTACAGCATTGATTGTAATGTGCCACGATCATTGCAATTGTTACAAGTACATTTCATTAAAAAAATGGCAGACAAAATGACAAGAAATGATTTATTGTCACTGGAACAAACCCTTCGTTTTCATTAGTACCACCGGCTAGTGACACTGATGGTCCTAGCGGGACTTTTGTTCCCGTTAGTACCACTATTCGAAATCATAATTGAAGGTGGTACTAGTGAGAAATTTTTGTACCACTGGTTTTTAAGTAGAGACAGAAAAAAACCTTAACCAAATATTTTTTTTAAAAACATGTTTTTTCTAGAAAACGTCGAATGCGACGCTTATTAACCCAGAAGTCGGTTACATTCGTTCGTCGGTTAAAAGGTAAAACTCATTAAGTGACATTTTGTTCAAAAACTAGATTTTTTCAATTTTGCTTTATTGGGAAGAACATCTATGACAAGAAAAATTCAGTAAGTCTCTGGTGTCCTTCATGTTTTAATACATACCAGTCCTTTAGTGATTTTTCATAATGAAAAAATACAAAATCTTAATTATCTCCCTTTGGCCAATTAGGCTATTAGTGAGTTTTACCTTTTAACCGACGCGTTACCAAATCTTCTATCTTTTTAACCGACTTCAAAAAAAGGAGGAGGTTCTCAATTCGACTGAATGTATTTTTTGTATGCATGTTACGCGATAAATCCGGTATTTGTGAACCGACTTTGATGATTCTTTTTTGTTGGACAGAGGGTACCTCCATAGTGGTCCCATTGAATTTTGAAGAAAATCATCCACCTCTAAGGGTTGCTGTTCACGCATGAAGATTGATTTTTATAACTAGGGCCTAAATTTTATTATAAGGAGCAATTATTTTAATAATTGATTTTGCTATTCTCCAATTCAAGGCGTTTTTCTCTCTCAATATACCTTGAGTAGTGAGAACCGATTTTTATTATCTCCTGTGTCAAGTTCCGTATAGTGGCGAACTAGGGGATGAATCCGGGTTTGCGCACTTTCCGGTAACCGATTGCAATAAAACTTGGTAATTATATGTACTTCCACGTACTTTTGAGGTTAGTTTTTTTTAGTACTCTATATTGAGATTATGTTATTATATCCCAGACGGTTCTCAGGGATCGAAGTTTTATTGTTAGTGCAATAAAATTTTATTTCTGAGTTTAATACGTAAATTTCAGTCTAGTGCGACTTGTTATAGCTTTAAAAAAAAGACATTTTTTATTATCTATTTGTCACTTACCTCTTAACAATGTATTTAATTACAAGCGACATCGTCCGGTTGATGTAGACCTGATTCTCCTTCTTAAGGTCAAAGAGAAGTTCCTCATCAAATTTGGCATCTTGCAGCGCTTCTACTGTAGCCTTCGCCAGGCGGCGGTTGTGTTGATAATATTGCTAGAAATAGACACATACTTCAGTCTATAATAGTCTATAGCCGGACATAGGTCCTTATCAAAGCGAGCACTTTCCACAAAAGAGTATATAGTAGTATATATATAGTTGCTACGTAACAGATACATCACTCATATACAAAATCAAAGATACCTACCTACGCTACAATAGCGTACTAAATCTAACTAATAACACTAGGTGCTCACATGAAAAAGGAACCCCAAGCAGAGAGGTGAAAATAACGCTGCCGCCGTGTGCAGTCGTGCGGAATCGAATGGGCTAGGATTGTACAAGGATTTGTATTGTAAATGGAAGACTCGTCTGAGTTTTTGAAATTACAATTATTTATTTAGTATTAGGTAATTATAATAAAATGATATATAGATTTATATTTTTTACCTTCTCTATTCTGTTAATGTAATTTTAATAAATATGCAATTTTAATAATAATACACCCATCCATTAAACAATAATTACGCAATAGCGACAATGCGACGATTTTTTCTTACGAAACGTGTCATACGACTATTCAGATGTCACACTCTCTGAGCTTTTGTACTGCCGGCGATACACTCAGCGGTAGGTACATAACGTGTCCTCCGTCCGTCTCAGAGACGGAGTCCTGCCGATACTGATGACTACCCATACCAATTGCAGCGCCAGTCAGAGCTGCGCCTGTCACCCTGAGACATAAAGTTAACAACTCTCATGTGCTTGTAGTTAAACCAGCACCCTTACCTTTCAAAACCACAAGGCAGTAATAGTCATATTACTGGCGGTAAAATAGGTAAAGTCGCAGTGGTGCTTCCCAGGAAGAACTCTTTGCCAAAACTCTACGGCTACTAAAGTTAAAGTGGTACCTAATAATGACCCGTTTAGCTCTTACAGGTAGTTTCGATCTATGATGTTTTTTCCAAATGATAAATGTGTGCAAATGTTTAATTACAAACCGCAACCCCCAGAGTTTCTTGCTCATTCTCCTCTGGGGAATCTGCGTTAGAAATGAGTATTTAAAGTTTAATCAATATGACCTGTGAAGTAAAGATAAATTTGAGTGTGAACGAGGGTTATAGAAACACAGAGTTTCTAATTTCTCAATTTATAGATTACGAAAACTATGACATTGGATTGGGAACTGCACGATATCTCTTAGCATATTTAATCTATTAGTTTCTCGCGCGTCAGGGTGGTGACCCAAGGCAGTAATTTTATGTCGGCAAAAACTCGGTTATTTACGCGCACCGCGCTTATGGCGCGGGATAATGTGGACGAATGTCCAGTGGTTGCAAATATGGCTCTATCACAGATATTTCCAAACTTTGCTTTGGTTTATTCCCTTTATAATTATACATTTCTTTTCATTTCATGTAATGCAAACACACATAAAAATATATATTAAACGGTTGAACAATAGTAAGCCCATTTTATATTGCTTAAAATTTCACCAGAAACATTAATTTCGACCAAAAGTATAACTTTTAGTTATCTAAAGGGAAACTAAACAGGGAAAAAACATTGGAACTAATTTATTAATGTACCAAAATTAAATATAAACTACCTCCTTTTTGTACTCTACCAATCATATTTCATATATTTATTCTAATAGACTTAGTTATTGTTATTTTAGGGCACTTGACGGACGAAGCTACACATGGTACAGGGATCCTAGTTTGAGAGCTAGGCACATCTCAGATACCTATTTTTCTGTATTTTGCAATACAGATATTATAAAGTTATTCGTGGTATTAACAGTGCTTCATTTTCTTTATCCTGGCTTTGTAGCCTATTATTTTTGAGGTCGGCCCTCCAAGTCCTCGTGCGCCAATCCAGGCACCGTGCCGTAAGCTCAAATCTTCATATCTCTTTGGACGATGTCAACCCAAATGGTCTAAGGGTCTGTCTGGTCGTCTTTTGGTTTACTTACAAGCGTCAAGATTCTTACTCTTATAGTTCTCATCCCAACTGCCTTCTAAATTAATTATTATTTATATATAAATTGGTGATGACAGATGGAGTAAAGTGCCAATCGAATGGTCACCATAAAGTGGTTTTAAAAACATGGGACTTCCTGTAATGATCATCTCATTGCATTTTTTACACAACATTGTCAATGACGCAGACCATAGATGAGGTTAGTGCAAGGTTATGGTGTAGGGCACAAACTACGGTATGCATATAGCAGTGGATGGAGTCGTGATGATATTATTTTTTAATTATACTCAGTGACGGAATGAACTAGTCATGCACCTGGCGGTAAGCGACACACCTGTCCTTACCAGTTCCAGTGCCACTTAGAGCTTTAAATCGCAAAGATCTAAGGTCACCCTGAGACATAAGTTGATAAGTTCCATGTGCCTGTAATTTCACCAGCACTCTTATCTTTACTCACATTACTGCTGGGCGGGAGAAATAGATGTAGTGGCAGTACTTCTCTGGGCGAACTCTTTCACAAGGAGCTCTATTGCTCCGAAAATAATAGAATAATAAAGCTCAGTCGTCAAACCTAAGCTCATGGGAACTGCGACAGGGGTACTAAATGTGTTCCAGTTTGGGTGCGACTGGTTTATTAGTATTCCGCGTTAGTTCGCACAGTGAATAGATCGCAGCCCCGGGGAAACAATTTCTTTGAGTGTTTCAGTGTAGTTAGTTAGGAGGGCAGATACTCTGATTTTACTTACGTCTATGAGATAGAGATTTCTCTAATGTTGCGGGTTTATTCATCAACTTTTACGTTAAAACAACGCGGACAACATCGCTCGATAGCGGTATGTCAGTGATGTATTTTATTAATTTTTATTTGATAATATATTCCACAGGAAAACATAAAAACACATTTAGTAACAAGGAAAACACAAACAAAAAGGTACTGCTTATTTCTAACAGATATTTCTTCCTGCAGACCTTAAGGCTGCCTTTCCACCAGAGATGTGCGACGTAGCGAGGCGGTATGCGAAGAAAAAATCCACCAATAGGATTTCTTCACTTTCCTAGCCTCGCCTAGCGCATCTCCGGTGGAAAAGGGTTAACGGAGCTAAGTATTTGTACATACAAAATAGCGAGAGATGTGTACGAGGAATGTGTGCAAAACGGTGTAGGAAACTGGAGCTACTGAAAGAATGACACTAACTGACACTGACATATCGCCGCCGGCCACCTCATCACACCGTACCCCGCCCGCACATTGCTGCCGCTACACATCCTCGCACCGCCTCGCTACCTCGCACATCTCTAGTGGAAAGACAGCCTAATACCGGACACATTAACAAAAAAATATCAAAAACATTAAATTATTGAGTGATTTCCAGGTAAGTTTTTGGTACTCAATTATGGTGAATTTCTTTTTATTTAAATATTTATGGAATATCATCATGAGGTATTATTTAATATTCGAGTGTGGTCACCTGAAATATTCTTTAATATTTTACGATGATATATTCGAGTAATTAAATAATAAAAATTGACACCAAAATTAAGTACAAAAACTTACCTGCAAATTACTATATTAAAACTGTATAAATACTTACATAAATACATATTTGGTATTATAATATCTAGAAAATGGATGAAATGGTCGATAAATAGTGTTCCTTAACTTTCATTACGAAAATTGCATGGAAAATTGCAAAACAGTGATGGAGTGAGAATAGAAACCGTATTGAAGGATGGAAAAGATAACTGGGACCTAAAGAGAGAGCGACATGGCTTATCCTGGGACTTGAGAAAACTGAAACGCTCTTTCATATACCCGGGAGACATAAGGTTATATAGAATATTATAAAGGACGGAGAGAATATGCAAATTCCTGCGGAGACGAATGGGGAGTCACTTGAATTGCCTGTGATAGTGTGAGATTCGGTCATATTTGCAAAGTTAATGTTGATTTATAAAGTTAAATTATTTAACTTTGAACTGAATTTGAAATATTGCTTTATTTTCTCATCAGAAACAGGAGTAGAAGGACTTATAGAATATAACTATTAGCTCTATACCCTCTTTTATTTTTGCTTATGGTGAACGATCTCCCTAGCGTTCTCAATCACGTGGGATGTTTGCTTTATGCTGATGACTTAAAACTTGTCGTGGAGAACAAATCAGTAGAAGATTGTATAGCCCTCCAGCGCGACGTCGATGCGGTACCTATACCAATGTAGTTTGGACAATGCTATGCAATTTAACACTGATAAGTGTCAAGCGATGACGTTCGGTCGAGTGAGGCTTCTAATAACTTATGATTGTAATGTATAAATGGAGATAGCATAACCCAATTGACCACTATGAAAGATTTTGGTGTCGTTTTCGATCGGAAGTTAACGTTTCATGGCTACAAAGCAGCTCTTGCCAAGGAGTCTTGGCGTCTCGGCGTGTGGGGTTTATCCTTGGAAACTCAAAGGATTTTAAGAGCGTCCATCTGGTCATGCTCCTTTTTAATTCATTAGTGCGCATTAAATTGGAGAGTCCCATGTGCGTAAGGGTTTCTTAGAAACTTGTACAAACGTGCAAATGGGTATTATAATTATATGTATCCTGCTTCGTTTCTGTTGGGTTGTCTGGGTTGTAATTCGTTGGAGGTTAGACGAATGAAACACCTACTCGTGGTTACTTGCAAAATTCTGCGCGGTAATATAGATTCCCCAAATTTGCTTATGCAAATTAGTGCACTTTGCTTCTAACAAATATCGCCACAGTAGAAGACAAAAGTTGTTTGCTACCCCGTCGTCCCGAACCCAAGCGCGCGCTCTCTTGTTGCCAACCCTGAATGCGACTTGTTTGCCGATAGATGGTCAGGAATATTGTCAGAATGTTTGTATTACTGTGAAAAGGTATGCTTGAAAGGTACTTAATATTATATAATTGTTTTTAAGTTGTTAATAATGATTATTTAATTATTAGATAGATAGATTATTGTAACTGGTTTGTCCGTAATAATTAAATTAAAAATAAATAAGAAAATCGGGCATAGTGACACCAGACTTCTACTCTGTAGATGAGCAATGAAGTTATGGCATAGG